TTTGAGCTGCTGGAGAATGACAGAACAGAGAATGTTCGAGCTGCTCGTGAATGTTCTACTTACTCGAGATTGTTCGCGCTTCTAGAGAATGTTAGAGCTGCTCGAGAATGTTAGAGCTGCTCGAGAATGTTAGAGCTGCTCGAGAATGTTCAAGCTGTTGAAGTCACAACTGCTAGAGAATATTTGAATGAATGCTCTAGAATGTTAAAGCTGTTGATGAATTTTTGAATTACTCGAATATGTTGGAATATATGAAAATATTAAAACTGCTTGAGAGTGTTAAAACTATTCAAGAATGTTCGAGTTGATCGAGAAAGTAACAACTATTCAGAAATGTTTGAGCTGATCGGAAATATTCAATCTGGTTAAAAAATGTGTGAACTGCTCGAGAATATTCGAGCTGCTTAAGAATATTCGAAAATGTTTATGAATGTTAGAGCTGCTCGAGAATATTATAGCTGCTCTAGAATATTCGAATTGTTTGTGAATATTCGAATTACTTGGGAATATTCGAATTGCCTAAGAACGTTTAACTCGAAATGATTTATGTTTTATTTTAATTTCGTTTCGTTTTATATAAATATATAAAGCACCATAACTCGAACATTATGTGTATAATCATATGAGAAACAGTGAACATCAAAATACCCCAAAACTTCGAACAACTCAAATAATGTTCAAAACTATAATGAAACATCTATAGTTTAAGTTTTTAATCTTATAATTAATATTGGTAAATAATATATTTCACATTAAATAAAGTGATTGTGGATGTACAATACACGAGAAATATGTCGGATGTGCTCTTTAAACTATAGTAATGTGAATTGGATACCAAGCTCATATGGTTCGTTACCTCTGAATTTTTTTGTATAGTTATGCTATGACAATTTTATGGCGTATGAAAAGATATCTATTTCGAATCAAGATGTGTGATAATAGTAAAATTATTCTTAAATGCAAAATAAATTGTTTTAACAATTTTTAATTAATATTTGGACTAATTCTTCACAAAATATTGATCATCTGATGGCCAAATATTCATCATCAGAGGTTTTTAAAAAAAATACAATTAATTGAATATTATATTTTTTCACATCAATACCATTAATAAGTGGACTGAATGTAAAGTTTGATTTTGTAGAATATATATATATAGAATATAGGATTATAAATTACATGCAGATATATGTTATGCATAATGGTTTCCATGTGAACATCAACTTTTACGATAGTTTGCCAATAAAATTTATTAGTTAAAAAATTTAGTGGTTTTATTAGAATATTCATTTTAAAATAAATTACTAAAAATTGTAAAATTGTAAATTATTAGTAGTTTTTCTACTATTTTAGTAAAATTTAACTAAGGTTCAAGATTTTCTGTTTGTTAACATAAAAAATAAATTACATCTAATAGCATATGTGTGTATACCATATAAATATGGTATGAAACATAAAAAATATATTAACGCCTTCCTGTAAATCTAAACTTATTAATGGTAAAAACGTTTTTATTTAAATTTATTTAATGCAAAAATGTCCAAATTTCAGTGCTCACACGCCCCTATCAACTGTCAAATGTCCATATACAAACAGGCACGATCATTAAAAATAAAAATTTAATGCCTGAGAATTTTAAGAATAACAAATTTATGTCTGTCTGGTAAGTGGAAGTTAAGGTGTCGTTTACTTGGCGACTTTTGTCCAAATTCCACTTGGCTTGGTTTGTATTCGACTTCGACAACTGTAGAATCTGAGGTTAATTACCTTTCACACACTTCAGTACAAAGTGAAGCCAATAATTTGGTTTGCTTGTAATCCATGTAATGCTAAAACTGTATGCTTTAATCTTAACATTATAGTTAGTGAATGCTTTAGTTAATAATTGAGATAAATCCTCTTATGCTGCAATTGTTACTTAAAGCAACAATAATATCTTTATCTACAATTGATATTAATGTCATAGCAATATATAGCAATAGAACCCCTATTTATATAGTATCGTAAGCATAGATTGAGTTTCAACACAAGTTGAAGAGACCAGCATATCTCAAAGTGTTCATAAGATTAATAGATTAGATTTGAATAAACGGAATTAAATTTGAATGATATGAATGTAAACATAAACTACACTTTATTAATTTTTATTATAAATCTGGTATTATATATGGTATTCTACTCAAAGAATATGACTTTATTTCATATCACTTGTGTTCGAGACAAGTTTAAGCAATGATAATATATAATTATTTATTGACTTAAAAGGTTTTTTACTATCTGTATGTCATTTGCATTTTGTTGCAACAATTTATATTCTATATATAAATTATAATACCGAATACATAATTTATATGTATATTGAATATATAATTTATATTTAAGTAATTTAAATTAAAAGAAACAATTTTACATCTCGACTTATAAGGTGTCTATTGTAATCTCTGTAAACAAGCTTTTACATTAACCCAAGTATCTTTAAAGTTAGCTTGCACAAATTATGCTATTGAAAAACTTAAAAGTTTGTCTTGATTTAAAGTTCCAGACCTTATATAGTTCGATAACATCTATATGGTAGTATAGAGATAAGATAAGAAAGAACAGGGTATTAGCTCCCATTTGAGCAGAGCACCGCGACCATGATTAATCTTTTGTGCTACAACAGACCTTAACTGAACAAAAGACATTCCGCCTTTCGAATGAAGGCCAAAATGTCGATTGTTGAGGACCTCCTAATGTCGGAAGGTGCAAGCAATTCCCGACCCATTGATCTCCTCCTGGTCCAGATCAAAGCTGGGCAGTCACATAGAATGAGTTCGAAGAGATAGTATAGAGATAAGTTGGATAGACAACTCGCAGTGTAATCTACAGATGCTCGAATCATATTTATAGTGCAGATTATTATTATTTAAAATTACTATATAAATGTATACAAGGTGAGATGAAAAAACTGCAACAAAGTAAAACGCCATAATTTTTTCATTTTTTTTAAATTTTATTGAATGAAAGCAAAAAATGTCGGAAATAACATCAAATTTGAGAATCGGTTTAGATTTGTTCGAATTGGCCACCTTTGGCACGAACTATGGCCTTCAAACGGCCAATGAAACCACACACGCTGCCCGAAAGTGGCTCTGCGGTATTTTGTCCCATTCTCGGCGAAGCGCTTGCTTGAGATGATCGACACTTTGGTATTTTTTAGTTCCAACCTTGCTTTCCAAAATACCCCAGGCACAATAGTCCAACGGATTGGCATCCGGAGATTTTGGTGGCCATTGTGCGGTGGAAATGAAGCGAGGAACCTCATTTCTTAACCATTCTTGGATGGCGCGTGCTGAGTGCGATGGTGCTGAGTCCTGTTGGAATGTCCAAGGTCTGCGGCCGAAATGTTTGCGTGCCCAGGGCTTCAGAACTCCCTCCAAAATATTTTCGCGATAGATTTGCGCATTTAATTTGACACCACGGTCGATGAATACGAGCGGCGAGCGACCATCGGCTGTTATGGCGGCCCACACCATCACCATGGCCGGCTTTTGAGTTGTGATGGCCAACCGAAGTTGCAAATTTTCAGCTGACCTCTCTGGCAAGTAAACACGATCATTTTGTTTGTTTACAAACTGCTGGATAACGAATGGTTTCTCATCGGAGAAAACCAAATTCGGCAGTTCACCACTTTCGGCCAAGCGAAACAACTCTTTAGCTTTTTCGAGTCTAACTTTTTTTTGCGCATCAGTAAGATCTTGCACTTTTTGGAACTTGAATGGCTTTAGTCCAAGCTCATTTTTCAATATTTGCCGAATGGCATATTGCGATATGTTCAGCTCACGAGCCATTTTTCGTCCACTGCGACGCGGATTTCGTTCAATTCGCTTTTTCACTTTTCGAACCATTTCTGCCGATGTTGCTGTTTTTTTTCGTCCACTTCCTTGACGTCGGGCTACGCTACCAGTATCATGGTAACGAGCGATGGTACGAGACACAAAACATTTATTCACTTCTAAATGCTGGAGGGCTCTAACGATAGCCACTTGTGGTTTTCCAGCCAAATGCAAAGCAATCACACTATCACGCTTGAATTCCATCACAAATAACTTTTTTTTTGAAAAATTCCCACCAAAATGCTTTTGTGCGCTTGTAAACAATATAATGAGCTGTCACTAGAATAAATCTGACAGCTGTGGGACGAGCGGTTTAGAAATGACAGCAGTCTGAAGTTGGTTGCAGTTTTTTCATCTCACCTTGTATATATGTAGTGATTATACATGACAATCTTAATAGATATTATATAAGAAAAAAAATTATTTTAAAAATCAATAATATTTTTGAAAAAAAATTTTGTTGGACATATATTAAAATATATTAAAAAGAGATTAAATAAAACCTATAAACAATTATATTATCTAACTAGTAGTGTTCGTTTGAATAAAATATATAAGTTAAATTAATATGTAGATACATTAGTCTTCAACGAAATTTCTAATTAGTAGACCTTATATGTCCAATAGATTGGCATATTAAAGCGTTACTTTCGAAAACAATCTCTTTGCCATATGTCGTATATGCAGACTTTAGTTCTGCCTGTCACTTGACTTGTTACTCTCCCCCCATTTATTGCTTGTAAGCACGTATGAATTGTGGCTCTTTCCTCCATACCTCTTGGGTGTTTGTAATTTTGGACTTTTTTGGCATTTTGTACAGTACAAAATCGTGCTCGCAATTTTAATTCATTAGTTCAACAGGAAATCGTATTATGTGTTTTGTTGCTTAACATTATTACGATCACTTGTAGTACAAGTGTTCATTCAGAATGATTGGCGAAATATCGAATTATTATATAAGCTCATTAAAAAAAAAAAATTGGAAAAACGGTTTTTGCTTTTTTGTTCTACGGTTTTTTGCACTTTTTAGCTTAATTTTTTATTTCATAATTTTTATGCTTTTGAACAAAATTTTAATTGAATTTTAATTAACAATATTTTTTTTTCTTTTCTTTTACAGCAAAAATGAAAATATTTTTGCCACTAGTCACGTGGATAGTGATACTTTCGAGTACAGTAAGTAGAATTACTGCTATATATATAATATTATATTTCACATATTTACTTATGTAAACATATACATTCAAGACTCTTAAGATTAGGCGATTTTATATAAATTATATAGATAAACTATATAATTTAAATTGAAAATATTTTTTATATATTGCTGAAAAACTTTATAAGGAATTATTTTTTATTAAAAATAGTATTAAATATATATTATGAAATATATATTATGAAATATATATATAATTTTTATAGAAAAAAATTTATTTGCCCACAAACTAATAATTTAATGAATTATTAGCGTTGGCTAAGCATACAGCAATCACTAATAATATAATAATAAATATTTAAGATGAAAAAAAAACATTCATAATAAATATTAATTTAGTTTTTATTAATTTAATTAGTTTTTATAAAATTAATTATTATAAGTATTTTATTCTAGTAAAAAATTATTTATTTAAAGGTATATAAATGTTTTATTAAAGATTTTATAAATAGTATAAAACTAATGTATAAAAACATTATTAAAGGAGACAGCATTGATATAAATATAATAATAGTTAAAATTTGAAATATAGAATTTTTTAAAATAATTTAAAATATATAAAATTTATAATCAATAATAATAATTTTTTAATAATAATTTTAATTTTTAATAAAATTAATGTGTTAATGTAAAAATATACTTATTATTAATAAACATTAGTAAATAATAATTAACATTTGAAATAAATGATTATTTATAATAAATTAATATACATAAAATTTAATAAATAATTGGTTGTTTGTTTTCAAAGACTGCTGCCTTTGCATATTCTCCTCCAATTAATAATTATATCCTACAATAGATTTTTTGTTAATCTTATTCATGAGCAGTCTAATAGACTGTCGAGAAAGTATCTCTCTAAAACTCTAGTCTTTCTATTAAACAAGATTGTGCAATCAGAGTACAAGTGTATAATTATCTTTATTTCGTTTAAATATCCACAAGCTCTACATGTTGAATGGAAGACACGGTGTTACTCTAGATAGGATCTTATATACTAAAGACCAGAAAGAACTGCGATTAGTCTAGCATGTTCTAACAATGAACATGTCAATGTTCCTCCACTTCACTAAATAATAATTCAAAAAAAAAATATTTAATATGGAGTTAAGAAGTAGTGAAAAATTAATTATTTTGGTATATATTTTATAAATTTTATAAATATTTTTAAGTTAGTAATATATAATAAAAACAAATTAGTTATGAATTATAACTTTAAATAATAAATATTCAAATATTTATTTATTGAAAAGAAAAACTATAAACAAAAAGAATTACATTTTTATTACTATTTTATTACAATTAATTGATTGCGGGAGTTAATTATTTATTGCAAATTATTTCATGTTATATATTAACAAATTAGAAAAAAAAAATAATTAGTGCACTAGAGTTTTTACTAAATAACATCATATAACAAATATCTATTTTCAATAAATAATAAATAAAAATTTTTAATATTATTTAAAATAAATAATTTTTTATAATAAATTAAAATATGTAAAATTGATAATAATAATTGACTATTAATAAAATATTTTTAATGCCAAATAATAATATATTATAAGTTTTTTATTATTTGTATTGAAATATATTTTATAAATTGTTCGTATATTTATTTTTTTATAATTTATAATAAAACAAAATCAATTATAAGTTACAATAAATATTTCATTATTGAAAATAAAAATTAATAGAGAATTCTCTTTTTATTACAATTAATTTGAATTAATTATTTGCGAGAAATAATGAATAAAAATATGATGTATATTATTTCAGGATTTGTAAATCTATATGTATTAGCGCAATAAATCAAAAAAAAAAATTAGTAAACAATTTATACTAAAAAACATAATACAAAAAATGTATATATTTCATTAATAATGTGAAAAAATTATTATTAATAATCAATATAAATAAATCATTAATTGTAAATAAAAACAAATAAACCTCCAAATACTACTAAAGACCACTGATAATAGATATTTGGAAGTATCCTCTAAACGTCTATATCGTTAAATAAAGAACTCAGTTCAAATAACAATTTGAAATTTTATAAAAATGTTTTATATCAAAGAAGTATTCACATACAATAGAAACTTATAGTATAAGCAATATAAGTCGAAGACAACTTTAATAAAAAAAAAACACAATTAATTAAAATTAAAATTAAATACTTCTAAAGACCACTGCTTATGGATATTTAAAAGTATCCCAAACAGCTATATTGTAAAACAAAGACGTCAGCTCAAAAATAATTCAACAATTTATAAAAATGTATTATATTAAAATAATTTCCATACGCATTTTAACTCATAATACATAACATAATATTAACAATATAAGTTAAAGGACATGAGAATTATAAAAATTCAGTTCAATGATGCTGAAGTTATTTTTCATATTCTAATATTTCATTAACAAAAATACTATAAAAATGTTATAAAAAGCACTATTTTAAGTGTTTCAGTTAATTCAAAGAAAATAATCAACTAACCAATAAAAAAATGAAAAAATAAATAATTTTTATAACTTCTTAATCTTAAGTTTAGCACATTTACCTTATTTTCGAGAACAAGTTTATGAATATCCAATACATAAAAATATCTAAAAAAACATAAATCTTTTCAAGGCAACGACCTAATTAATTATGTTTTAATAAATTTAATTGATCAATAAAAATATCATAAATTATTTGTTAATATCAAAATCTGAACCTTTTACGATTTTTGCAATAAAAATATTTTTATAATATCGCAAAATGTTTGTGTGTGCTAATTGTGCTTTTGAATAGATCTACGAATTATATAGTGTACTAAATTGGATTTGATATTAAACCAAAAAATAAATCACATATATTTTGTTAAAAATTTTGCATATCACAGGTGTTCGTGGAATAATCAGTGTATTGTTGTTGGCAGGCAGGGATAAATAAATTTCGAAAGCACCTTCTTTTCTATTTAAATATTACTTTTATATGAAATATACGACTCTTATATACAATATATGAGTGACCATCTTTTTACTTTCTAAAATCAAATATGGCATCAAAGAGAAATAAATAAAGCAAAATTATTTAGTCATAGCTTAAATTAGTATTGTTAAATCTCACGTATGGCTTTGTATCGAAAATGTGAGATATTTATTTGCATAAAATTATATTTTAACACAACAAAAAAAATATGTAAAAAGTAACTGTTAAATGTGAAAAGATATTTTATAAAAAATTTACCATATCAAACAATTAACCCAAACCCAACACCACACAACACTCAACACTCGAAGAGCTGAACAAATATTGTTTTGCAAACAAAATAAATAATTATTGAAATAGAGTTTTTAACGTTGGTGTCGGTACTTAAATAAGTAATTTTGGCAAAAAATTTAGTAAAAATCTGTTAAAAATCTGAAACAAAACAATCTGAAAGAAAGTACCTTTCATCAGTCATTTGAAACCATAATCGAAAAATGCTAAAAAATGTTGAAAAATGCTGAAAAAGACATTACCGCATCGGATCGGTGCTCACACTGTATTCCTGTAGACGGCGGTATTCTGCATGTCAATTTTTCTAACTTTACGGGAACGGGAACGGAAACAATGCCTTTTTCATACCTAATCACTATGCATTAAGCCAAACCAATTTCGACTAAGCAAATTCAACCTCAACAAATATAAATTACAGCTCCGCTAAACAAATCCACCCGAAACGCATACAAAAATCTAAAGAAATTTTAGCGATCAAAAAGAAAGCAGCAAACGGCGAAAGATCAACAACGGTCAACGACTGTTTATGGCAAAAGACAGCGGATTGTCGGATTGTCGGATTGGCAGATTGGCGAATTGGTGGACTGATGAATATTGGTGAATTGCTGACTGAGTTCAGCATGCTGAGTAACGCTGCTGAAACGGCCGCAGCGTTGGCATGAATAAAAATAGCAGCATTAGCTGTAAAAGTAGAAGATAGTCATCGATTACTGACAATATAAAGCAAGAGGTTAATCAAACATGGAAAAAAAATCTATACAAAAGAAGCAATAATAAATAACAAAATTTGGCCAAAAGCTCTACAAGAAGGTTATTGACTTCGCTTACAAATAGTCGAGCGGGAAAAATGCTAATACCTTTGTTATTTGACGATTGTTATTACTTCTATCTAATATCTCACATCTCACAACTTATATCGCATAATGTATATCTCAACTCAATTCGCGCTAGTATTTATTAGTTTTGATTTTATTTCTTTGATTTAATTTGATTAGCAAGAAGCTAATTAAATTGCTTTTTATTGTTTATTATTGCTTTGCAAACATTATTTCTTTTTTCTCTTTTTTCTCTTTTTTCTGTTTTTAAGTATAAAATATATTAACAATTTGAGTTAATAACAATTGATGGAATTTTGAAGTTTATAACATGACAGCAAGTTAAAGTTTTTATACGCTTGCATATAGCAACACGGATATAACAAAAGACTTAAGCGACAAACTTCCATTAAAAAAAATAAATGCCATTTCATTATATTTTATTTTGCAATAATTTTTTTGCAATTTCAAAAAATTTTATATATAATATTCAGTAAAATATGTTCAACTAATTTGAAACATTACTTATCATTGTCAGGGCTTGTGTGAGCAAATTTTGATGCCAGAAATAAACATTAATTAATTTTCCGTTTTGTATTGGCAACCAAAACTAAGTAAAAATTAATTGCTTGTAATATTTTAAGCTAATCAATTTTTTAACCAATGAAATAAAGAAAAAATATATTATATGTGCTATATAGATGCCCAATTTCTCAAAAGATATGGTTAAAACGATTTGATAAGCGCCAATACCTTAATCTGGTAGATAAAAATAAAAATAAGAGAGGAGTATTTACTTGAATCTATTCCCGCTCTTTTTAGGCGGGAAGTAGTGCATTGAAATTAGAGATTTCTAGCTAAGGGATTAAAATGTTCTATC